TGCTGGTTTCATAAGCAGTCAGTAATGTGATGGCAGTTGTAAGTCCAGGACTGGTGAGTTACTGTGAAGGAAGCTAATAGCAATTCTACATTCCTTAGATAGTTTGTTGCAGTTTCAACTCGGGATTTTTGGTAAGAAATGTTCCTGTTTAGCAGTCCAGAGTTGAGCATTTAGTTTGAGGTATGTTCCCATTCCTGTCAGCTAAGGGTAGAAAAGAGTATGAGCTTGACAAGATCAATGCTCCAAAAGAAACCACTCTAGTATTCCTGATTCTGCTGGAGTGATAAGCATTGTAGGAACTTGCATTGCAAGGGAGAACCCAATTGAACTGCTAAGCAGATGTTTCAGAACAAAGGACGGACTCTGCCTTTCCACACACACGCGGCTGAGCTGTGGAACACTCCTCTGCAGGATGGGGCAGGTGTCAGCGTTGGAAGTGAGTTCAGGAGGAAGCAGCTGGCCTTGGTGTGCAGTACATGAAGTGAAGAGGGTTTGTTATACTCACATTAAAAACCCTGGGAGTTCTGCCTTGTCTTACTCAGAGTAGCACAGACTTACCTCAAACAAATGTTGCTCGTGCTCCTTGAGCTGTTGGCCAGGGAGGTGCTCTTCGTGTAGACCTGCCCCCAGGACACCTTTGAGTGACAGGACAGGGGAACTCCCCATCCTTGTGAGCTTTCAGTGGCCATGAGGAATGTGTGAGGAAAATGTAGCAGTAAATGTCACTGTGGTGCGTGAGGCTCACTGTGTAAATGTCAGGGGCATTTCTGTTTCCTGAGGAATGACATTTCCTCGGTGACATAGCTGTGAGCAGGGGAGAAAGGCCCCTTCCAGCTCTCACCCCTTTGTCTGCCTGGTGCATCTCTACTGGTGGCTGCCTCGGTCAAGAACTATGAGAGTAAAGGGAAGGCTTACCTGCTGTTCGCAGGGGAATTAAGAGTCATAGGGAAATAAAGCTGGAAAAAAGGGTTTCCGGAAGTAGGCCCAGTCACAACTGCATCACTGTGACAGGTGTTGAGAAAAATGCTTCATGGTGGAAATTCCATCTTTACCCAATCCCTTTAGATGAATTTGTCTGGGAACTTTGATTCTTTTTGAGCCATAGGAGAGTATTTTAGATGGGATGCCAGTTATGGGAAATCATTTGTAGTGCACTTTGGTCTCTATTCATGTTGATTTTGTTTACAAATACAATTTTCTGGTGTTCATTCATGGTCACTGAACAAAATCTTGGCATAATGCTCCAGCTTACTCATATCCTGCGTTTGAAAAGGCCCGAGATTTATGGGGATGTATTTAAATGCAGTTAAAGCTCTTTTCTTACTGGGGAATTTTGCTTATAGTTTGATTTTTAAAAATTAACCATCTTAGTGTCTGATGGTCTCTATACTTCTTTTGACAGTAATCCAGTCCCTCATAGCACTGGTGAATGATCCACAGCCCGAGCACCCCCTCCGGGCTGACCTAGCTGAAGAATACTCTAAGGACCGTAAAAAATTCTGTAAGAACGCTGAAGAGTTTACAAAGAAATATGGTGAAAAGCGACCAGTGGACTAATCTGACACAACTGCTGTCAGCAACGTATGATAGAAGATCGGAGCAGTGCATTTGAGACACCCCGTAAAGCAGGACTCTATGGAAAATTGACAAGTGCCACCTTTCGGTGTGAACTTGTGGCTGTTACTAACTTTCTACAGTTTTCTTAATCAAAAGTGGGCTAGGTAACCTGTAAAGAAAGGATTAAAATTTAAGATGTTCTAGTTCTGCTTTCTTTGTTTAAAAATCACTGCTTCAATATACTTTAAAGTACGCTGTTTTCTTTTTCTTGTCAGAATTTATCAAAAATATCTTAGACTTATATTCTGCCCTTAAATTGAAAAGGTTGTGGCTGTCATTTCTTATTTTTCCTTGGAGTTCCCACTATCTTGAGTTCATTCACTGAATTTTAAACCCCCTCCTCAAAGTGATGTCTTAGGAAAAATATCCCAGTTCTGGCAGAAAATGATTGAGTGTTTGGCAGTTTCGTTTACTTTTCTTTTTAAATGTTGCACTGTGCTTTGTGGGACTTGTTGCAAGTTCCCCTGAACTTCAGTTTGTAACATAATAAACAAAAAACAACCCAACCCTACAAAACCAATCAGAAATAATGTCTGGGTCTGATGTAAATCTGGCCAGTGTCTATTAAACGGGGAAACCCAAGTTTTTGTGTGCGTCATTGAATTAGAATGTGGCTTATGTTCTGGTTTTGGAATACTTTGGGAAAAAAATCTGTAGCAAACAAGTAGTGGAATGTGATTTCGAATTTCCTTCACTTCTATCCTTAATACCTATGCAGAGCAGCGGGAATGTGCACAGAACAACATTGCAACCAATCCAGGAGAGTGTTAGAAACTGAGGACCAAGAGGTACCAAAGTGATAAACTTTTTTTGAATTTAAAGTTGGTATTTCGGAGATGTTCATTTGGAGTTAAAGAACTAAACCTGACAGCACTGCTGTCATCTCTGAACGTTTTCCATCAGAATGCATAAGAAACACCTGTGTTTTTAGGATGGCACTTGTGCCCCTTCCCAGGCCCTCTGCTGCCGGGTTCTGCCGGCACTGGAGCAAGGACAGGGCTGAATAATAATGTGTGAATGTGCTTTGCTGCTGCTGCTCCTGTGTTTAAACACACTGGTTGGGTGATTCAGTGAGTGTTCAAGTGTCATTCTGGCATTGTGGCTTAATCAGGCAGAGCTGTTTGCCAGTTGCTCTGGGGCACTCCTACGCATGCTGAAGGAAGCCCTTTCTGTTCAGACCTGAGCATCCTTGGCTGTGTCCCTGCTGCTTCTCACCTGCCTTCTCTCCCCAGTTCAGTGTGATTTGTAGCTCCATGGTCAAACTGCCACACAGTCAAACTGCCATGTCACCCCTACTCTCCAGCTGGGGTCTGTTACTAAGCAAACAAATTATCTCCAGAAATCCATCTGGGAGCACATATCATTTTGATGTGCAGGAAGCTGAGTTAGAAAATCCCTGACACCTAGGTGGTTGCCTGTACTCTCAAATTCAGTTTTAATACAGCCTCTGCCTTTGCAACCTTTCAGAACTAGTGTGTCAAGCAGTAAGTCTCTCTTGGTTTTAATGTCTTGTGTATTTGCTATTCCCTCATTCATCCCTCTCATCTGGCTTTCATTTCTGATTTAGTGTAAACAATGACAGCCCAGTACCTCACCTCTGTTGAAAGTAATTTTTTTTATAAGTTAGGGAGCTAAGAAATGTTATGTTTAAGTGTTCTTAGACAGATTCTTTGGCAGGTAAATAAAGTTAAACCACATTCACCTTATTTACAGAAACTTGCATTTCCTAAGTGTTTTCAGGCTTGTGAGAGCACTATTACCAAATTTTCACAGCTTTGTGTCTTCATTTGCAGAAAGTTGGTACCAATTCTGTTTCATTCACGCTCACTTGGATTCATAATAAAATAATGCCAAATTATCTGTCAAACTGAAGTGTGTAACTTCTACATCACCTGAGTCACTGTACCTTTGATCATGTCTGTTGGCATGGAAACGTACCATTCTCTAAATTTTATTTGAAACAAAACTGTAGCATTAGTTTGCTGCCCTCATTGCTACTCAGTAGTTACTCTGGTTGTAAAGCCTCTCGGGTCAAAGACTACGTCTGTCTGCGTTGCTGTGACTTGGATGCTGTTGGAAGGGAAGGGCTGTGTGATCCAAGGAACTCGAGTCATGCAGTGCTGCACCAACCATTCCAATTCCAGCTGCAGAGGTCACATGGAAGACAGATCCTGCTATCAGTTCTCTTGGTGTGTTCTCCATAGTCCAATTGCTAAACTGTGAGATGTGTAACCCAAGTGCTGATGCTGTCTAGGGGCAGCCTCTGAACAAAGGGATCTGACACTGTTGTGTGGCTCAAGTCTGAGGAGAAGAAATCCAAGTGTGAAGTCCTATGTTAACTCAGGAAATCCAGCTCTTGTTCTCTCTGGTTCCCTAAGCCATGCTGAATTCTAAACGTGCAGTTGAACATCCACAATAAAAGCAGCGCACTGGTGAAACTACACCCAGGAGTACTGGTATAGGCTTCCTGCAAGTCCATTCTGCTACCCTAATAAAAATTGCTCTCAAAGGCTTTGTGGCATGGTTTTATTTTCAGAGAGGTCTGGGGGTTAACTGGAATTGTAGTATCATTTGTAATTTAGACTTGAGTTGCCTTTAAAGCTTTCATAGAACCACTGAGAAATTTCTTTATCACCCTACATGCAATTGAAAGGTTCCCTATTTAGAAGTCTTTTAGTATTCTTTATTCATTTCTCCAATTAAACGAAAATTTGGGGTTTAATGCTGTTTGTTTACATTTTGTGTTTGCAGTACAGCGCTCGGGTACTGCTGCTGTCAGGTTCTAGTGCTCAGCTGCCAGGAAATGCCTCCAAAAATCAACAGGTGTGTAACGTCCAGTTGGTTGTGATCAGGGCAAATTCAGCGGTTAGAACATGAAGCAATTTAAACGTTAAAAATAAGGCTTAAAAATATCCATGAAAACACGATGACATTCCATGACCAGCTGAACTCTGTCCCGTCACAGCGGTTGCAGTGATCCCGGTGGGCGCTGGGCGGCGCTGGCGGGTGGGGCTGCTCGGAGCGCGGGTCTGTCCCCACTGGAAGAACCTTTGGGAGAACGTCATCCCAAAAGGTAACAACTGCCCTGGTCAGACCCAGCCGGGAGTGCTTTTAAAAACAAACTTGTCATATATCTAATTAATTCTCTGACAATTATTTAGGAAAGAATCTGGAAAAATATTCTCTACAGTATCCTTGTTTTTCCTATTTGTACAGGACAAAAATGTCCTCAGACGTGTTACAGGAAAGATCAGATAGTTCCCATTAAGGATAGAAACCCTTCTGGAGCTCCCAGGCAGCCACAGGGGAAGCAGAAAGGTTGGGTGGGTTTAGTTCACTCACCAGCTGTAATCAAACCCAAAAGCCTTCCTGAAGCACTGCAATAGAAAAGGCCTGAGTTTATTTTTCATATAAAAGAATGACAATCATATTGACATTTTTAATATTAAAAAACATAGTTAGCAAAACCGATTACATTAATTCACTTATGTGCAGAAAATGAGCATAAACAATCTAAAATAATTTCTCCCCATGTGAAAGTTCTATAGGAGTGACAGGGCTGCAGTTAAGAGCGTGAAGCATTGCTGGGGCTTATTGGAGTTCAAATGCTTTGGTGGGAGGAATAAAAGGGACAGATACAGGGACCTTGTTCCCTTGCAGACCTGCTTGTAGCTGGCACAGGGCTGTCCCTGTGTTTGTCCTGAGGGGCAGTGGGCGGGGCAGGATCAGTTGCTGCTGCTCTTATACACAGCAGTTACTGAAATAGCAGATGGGTCAACAGTTGATGTTCTTGCAAAGTCATCCAAAAAATAAGAAAGCCCCTCTGAAAGGGCTGTGGCCGATGTTACTTTCCTATAGGAGCTTAATGCTAAGAGGCAACATAAATAGGCAGGGACAAAATTACTGCTGGCTGAGGTGGCTCCTGAAAGGGGCTGCAGATCCCACTGTGCCACGTATATTATCTGACTGCTCTAAGCAGAGGAATACTCTGAAGGTGACGTGCCCTGCACCTCTCCCCATCTACGAGCAGGGATAAGTGGAGGGGCAGGGACCATGACAGTGCTTTAGGAAAACCAAATGCTGAAGGTTTCCAGGCCTCCCATGACCTACACCAAGCGGCTGCTCCAAAGCAGCACCTGCTCCTCCAGAATGTTTATTTTTTTGCCATTAAATCCAAAAAGAGAAATGATGGTGCAAAGCGTCTCACAACAGAGCACACCCCTGTGCTGCTCCTTCATTGACAGGAGCTGAGCCCTGGGAGGCAGCTGGGCCATGGTCGCTGTCCTGCACTGCGTTGGGGTGTCATAGAAGGGGTATGTCACATTCAGAGCAGATGCTGTGGCCTAAAAACTGGCAGTCGTGGCTCTGGGGCACTGCCTGGAGCTGCTCACAGGGTAATGCTCTTCCATTCCCAGGCTGTTCTCAGCTCCTGTCAGCTGTGCCAGGGAGTGTGACACTGGTAACAGTGGTCTGGCTTGTCTGGACACCAGCAACTACCTGGCTTCAGAGGATGGATGGATGGGTGGGTGGGTGGATGGATGGATGGATGGATGGGTGGGTGGATGGATGGATGGATGGGTGGGTGGGTGGATGTCTGCTCATTTATTTAAAGATCTTTGAATGAACACAGCTGAATGTTCCTGCTTTTGTAATGGCTCTGCAGCTCCGGCTTAATTAACGTCTGGAGTTCATGGAGGCGCTCCCAGGACTGGGAGAAATCATCCGGTCCTTCCCCACAACCACCAACGGGTGGGACACTGGGGTACCCTGGATGCACCATCAGTTCAATGGTCACTGTCCTGCTCTGCAGTGCTGGGTGTGCAGGTGAGGGCGCCCTGGATGTGACCTCCATGATGGCAGAGTTGATGGCACTCCAGATGCTGCTCACAGACATGTTCTTGCCCATGGTGCTCAGGCCTATATAAATGTCAGGCCACCTGGAGCCAAGGGAGAGAATACTGATATTAATGCTAATGAGGTAGGTAGAGAGCTGTGTTATGTCCAGTGGATTAGGAATCAAAATTTACCTACAATGTAAGACCAAAAAGGGGGAAGGGGATTTTAAAACTTTTAACTATAAGCAAAAGTGAAAACAGAACCTCACACCAGTTATGCTTTCTTTTTCCTTATTGAAACGAGGATCCTATTTCCAGCAGCAGTTCTGCAGTGACAGGAACTCCCCGGCATCAGCAGTGCTGCTGAGACTACTGACATACACTGTCACAGCACAGGGGTTGTTTGGCAGGGGTTGGTTGTTTGGTTGTTTGTGAGCTTACAGGTGCATTTTGTTGGCCCACAAGGGAAGAGCAGAGCTAAACTCAGAAATGCCACACTATCAAAATCTTACACCTGAATAATAACCCTCAGGTAAGTAGAAACAAAAGTGACTGAAATAAAATGGAAACCACTCAGCTAAAGAAGCGTTCTGCCAGAATGTATCAAAGAGCCATAATAACTGGACAAAATGCTACTACTAGAGGACAGCTACAGGCTGGTTCTTAGTAGCTTTGACACAGATCTTTTTTCAAGTCTGGCTGCAAACACTGGCCCTAGTGCAGCCTGAACAAGCCCAAGGCAGGTGAGCCAAGTGCATGTGAGGGCAGAATGAGGACGTTTTTGGAAGAAACCAAGGCTGCAGTTTTTACCTGCATGATCAAAGAACAGCCCAGCTGAACACTGGGCTCTTCTTGAAAAGCGTTTGCAGGACTTAGCAGAAGAATTTGAAGTGTGAATATAGTACCCTTGCCGACACCTCGCTGCTGTGCAATGAGCAGAGCCTTGTGCTCTCTGGCATCACAAGCCGGCTCCAGGGGCTCAGCACGGTCCTTCTGCACAGGTGCTGAAGTCGAGCTGCAGCACTGAGTTCCCCGAGCTTTCAGCCGCCTGTGCTCTTTGGGTTTCTCTGGGTTTCCCTGTGTTCATGTTTTGGTAAGAGCTCACCCCTTCTCACCTGCCCCACCAGGAGCGGCCGGAGCGGGGTGGATACAAACACACAGGTCCTCGGGTGGCCCCGCCAGTTCCCCTGTCCCCCGGGCAGCCCCTGAGCGTGCAAGGTTTCCACTGCACTGTCCTGGTGTGCACCTGCCTGAAAGGTGCGTTACTCTCCTGCTGAACTGCCCTGTGAGTTGTTGTGCCCTTCCTTCCCTTAGAAACAGGCTGGAGCACAGCCCACGGGCTCTGGAAGGATGGGGCAGGGTAAAATGCCAGCCTGATGTTGCTGTTCAGGACAACTGATACCAAAAAAATTAACTAAAAAAATAACTTTTTCAGTGGACTGAGAAAGTAACAAAATCTGCCCCAAAGGACAGGTGACTGCAAGGGTATCAAGTGAAATGTCTTTAATCCATAAGGCACTGTTTAAGCTTATAAGAAAAATATGTTACTGGGGGAAGGGCTGAGCTTTTCGGACTTGGCCCCTGAGGTGCAGGACAGACAGGACAGGCTGTTTGCTTAGAGCAGTGACTGCTAGCTGTGGCACTGCGAGCTCTGAGCTTCTTGCTTCCCCTTAACGACAAACACTTGTTTCTAATTAGTCTCTTTCCTCCTACTTAAAACCCTTTCTTCACTCTGCCAGGTAGATGAAAAGTTATTTCTTGAAACCTTTCCCTAGATCATACTTTTAGTATTCCAGTGTTGATGCAGCATTTCTCTTGCCACCCCAGATGCCAGGCTAATGCAGCTTCACTAGGAAGGCTGAGAAACATACCCTGAAAAGAACATTCCCTTTCAAGTGAGGAAGTGAGTCATCTCTGTTCAAACAAAACTTCCCAAGCCCTAGTGCCCCTGACACTTGTACTCCTCCTGAATCTCTCTGTAAGCCCAGAAAAGGAAAGAGAAAGGTGGTGTTCCATTTTTGAAAGATACTATCAGGAACTGATAAGATCTTAAAGTTTTACTGCAAAAAGGATGGGTAATGCCTGTCTTACCTTATTCCATGCTTTGTAAACACATCCACTGTGTTAAAAGAATCTTCTTCTACTCCCAGATAAAAGTCCATCAGGGATGGTGGAATCCAGTCACAGTTATGAAGGCCTGGCTCTACTGGGACACGAGTGTACTTAATCCCATATTCCTCTAACACCTCTGCAAACACATGCCTGACCTCTGCAAATATAACCAGGGACAGCATAGTCAGGAATTGGGTAACCAGCTCATCATCTCCCCTGTGAGATGTTAGCACAGAGGCTTCTTTCCTTCCCATGTTCAAGAAAATAAAATCACATTTGGTTTATCTTCTGCTGAAATGGTTTTCTTCATCTGGATAGGGGTCACCTTCTATGCTGGAAATATTTCTCCCTCACCATCTGCTCTAGGTGCCTTGTAGGTCTTCCCTTCAGCACTGAGCATTTAGTCCAGCCCCCCCCTTCTAAGTGAGTGACTCTGGTCTTAAGAGTGCACCAGAGGTGACTGCGTTGTCAGGAATGAGTTCTTCATCAAGTCCCTGCAAGTCAGAGCAATGTTATCCAGAGGCAGTTTAGAACTGGAGTGGGGGAACCTGGATTCTTTTTTTACTCAGTTTTCTGTACCACAGTGACCTTATTTTCAAAACGAGGACAAAAGGTACTCGGTCATCTCTTAAACATGCTGGGACCTGTGGGCAGTGACTGGGATGGAACTAACTGAGAGGATGGAGCTCTTGTAGCACCTGAAGAGTCACCAGCTTTTGCAAACTGTAAAGCAAGTGTCTTATTGCTCAAACAGGGAGCTGTGGTAGGGGAGGCCCCTCTTTAGTGACTCTCTGAGTCCCTCACCTGCTTGGCACTGGGAAGAGGAAGATTTCCTTCTCACCTGGGAGGACGTGGACGTGCTGGTGCCCATCCATGTGAGGAGGCAGGTGACCTGTCAGCTCATGGAACAGCTCCACCTGGGCCTTTAGCTCCTGCTTCACCTGTGCCACAGAGAAGGGTCAGAGCAAGACCTGTTAGGAGGCTCAGAGTAGGAGAGTGGAGGGGCTGCTGGGGACATCACTGGCCAGGAGTCAGGACCTGGCCCTGGGAGGCACCAAGTGCTGTGATTATAAATGGATCAAATGGATGTGCAGCTCTGCTGGGTTGCCCAGAGCCTTCCCCCAGGCATGGGGCTCTTTGTGGTACTGGTCATAGGGATGGTGCTGATACTGGGATTTTCTAAAATACATAGGGCATTTGAATACCCATTTCCCTTTAAAATTATTGAGGAAATGGGTGCTCATATCCCATAGGCAGTTTTGATCACCTGAACACGTTTGTTAGTGCTCACAGGGCAAAACCAGCCATCTCCCTAGAGAACAAAAGCCTGTTACAAGCAGATGAAAAGCCTAGTGCCTATTCAGGACTTCTCTGTCATTTGCCCTTTAGTGATCTCTAGGTTTTTTGTAAATACCAGTTCCAGTGCCTCTTCTGCCCCCTCAGATAAGTAGTTAACAGGACATTAGTGTATGCAGGCACTGAAATGGGGAGGAATGACTTCTAAAAGGCTGCAGAGCCTCTGGCAGAAGGAGGCCCAGGTCCTGGAAAGCCATCTCCAGCTGCACAGGCAGAACAGTCATCTCTAAGCTTACTCACAGCCGGGATCTGGGAAATTTCTTCAGCTGTTATGTGTTGGGATAAATGCAGGCTGATCTTTACCAGGAAAGCAAGTTGCAGGGTTGTATGTGGTCTTCTCCTACCTCTGACATGTTCAGGAGACCTCTTGATAGAGCTGTTCTGAATCCCATTTTTCCATGGAAGAATCCATCTTGGTTGAGCAGAGAAGAGTTTGTTTTGAGCACCTCACACACAGGGGAGCCCTCAGAAAGGTTGGCATGAAGGCCTATTGGGATGCTGTACCTGTAACAAGAATGAAATATCTGCTAAGCTTTGCACCTCCCTTACTGTGGCCAAAGTAGGGGGGGGGGAGATTTCAGTGAAAGAACTAGACTGATCTCAAAAGTGTTGATGTACTCACTGGAGCACATCTTTGTATTTCTGCTCTGCTAGAAAGAAAAGCACAGTGACCCTAACCAAAGTGGAATATCTCCAGATAACCACCCTGTGCAGTCTGCCAGGGGCCAGTCCATGAGACTTCACAACTCTGCTCCCACCCTGGCTCACATCATGAGGTACTCTGGGCTAAATGCTGTAACTACACTTAGTAACTGCAGTTACCAGCGATCAACAGAAAAATCTGGACCTTGCATCCTTTTCTAAAACATTTCATTAGCTGTTGCCAGGTATCCCATTGAGTTGTTCACCATATTAAAGATGGTAGATTTGAGACATCTGAGTTTTACTTGACAACTTCTAAAGCTGCCCTTAAGTAGAATCCAGTGCCCAAGGCAGCTGTTATGGCAACAGCACAGGCTACAAGTGTAAATACTGTCTGAGTTTAAGAGTTTCCTGGTCCAAGGGGCTGCAGCTGGAATTGCCTGCAGTGTCATGGTTCCTATGTACTGGTGCAGATGATCACTCAGTGAGTGACAAGGCTGAGCAGTATAGAGCAACACCTCTCTGGCACAGCCAAAGGAATAGTGCAGGGGGCTCATAGTGAAGTGTAGAACCTTGCTAAGGAAGCACAAGGGTACAACTGATTAACTAGTTGCACTCTAACAATTTTTATAAAAATGAAACTCTGGAGCTGGCATAGCTGGAGAGCCCCTCTGAGCCACAGGGCTTAGGGGAGTGTTGGTGTTTCCTTCTTGGTCTGTGCTGTGGATTCCCCTACAGTGAAAACAGGATTTGTGAGTGCTCAGATTTGTGCTGGGTCTCATTAGCATTTCTGCAAATCCTCAGAATCAGTAGCCAAAATGACGCTTTGAAACTTTTTCCAAGACAACCCCTGGCCTCCGGCTGACCCAGTAAGTGCATGACAGAATTGCAATGTTGCACCTGTGCTGCCCAGGCTGAGTCATGGTGCAGAGTGAATTTCAAGGCAAAAGTCTGTGATGCTTTAAATCGTTCTTGGAACTTCCGCATGAGGCTGCTAAAACTGAGATTGGTCTGTCCCTGGTACAGCCTTTGTACCACAGGGAGTTAAAAAAAAACAATCTCCGTTTAGGCAAAGTGTGCAAAAACCAGATCTTCCCCTTCTGTCTGCTGCCCTGAAGCTGACTGGTAAAACAGCAAGTTACTGGAGACAGGACTGTGGATGGATTGGTCCAAGTCAGAGTAATTTAGCTCCTTCAGGTCCTAAAGCTTTGACCCTCACAGGGCAGAAAGTCTCTTTCCTGGCTCCTCCATGTCTCGCGCTCCAAGTAGATGGTGCAGTTAGTTGCTAGATGCTACTTCTCAAAGACATAAATGTTAAGAGTCAAGTTATATGCTCAGATCTTTGGAACAAAATGAGTCCATGTCTTTCCAGTCCACTGTCTGATTAAGGAGTTTGAATGTTTGTTTAATGGAGCAAAAGAGCTTGTGGGGAGAAGGATCTCCGCTGTTTTTTCTGACCTAGTGATTTCTGTGCAGCAGGGCCTGATTGTTTTGTTGATGATAAATATTCCTCTGGTGTTCACACCTGAGACCTGAACACTGACACATGCACAGAAACTCCACAGAAATGGAAGGTGCTGTCACTGCGAGTGTGGCCCTTGGGCAGGCAGCTGGGCAGGAGGCAGCTACAGAAGGGGTGCTGTGAGAGGAGGGTTTCCCCTCCATCCTGTGACCTGCTGGGCACCCTGCATGAGCCCAAAGGCAGAGGGAGATCCTGTGGTTTTGTTTTGGCTTTTTTCAGAAGTCCACCCCAGATTCTTTTTCACGTCTTTGGGAAGCTGCCCAGCATCAGCTGGAGCATTATTTGTACCAGAGTCACTGCTGTTTGCAAGAAAAAAGGATTCATGTGTTACCATGAATCAGCAGATGGAATTTTTTTGTTGAGTTATTTCCAGGAGAAGGCAAGACCCTCCAACAGGTGTGGGACAATGAGAAGCCAAGTGCTGCACTGGGGAACATGAGAGCTGCTCCTTGCCTGAGCCAAAATCAGCCCCAGAACTGAGGAATGTGTGGAATGTGGAAGTGCAGAGAGAGCTGGCCTTGTCCTGGCTGTAAGGGGAGACCCTGACTGTAACATTAGAGCATGTTTCAGAGCTTTGGCCAACACCAGCTGAATATCTTAATAGTTTTCTCATGGAGTTAGTCCTGGCTGGTTAGACAGACTGCCCAGGCTGAGGCATCTAAAGAGGAATTGCTCGTGTTTAATGGCTCTGGGATACAGGGACTGAAACCAAAACTCAAAAAGCAGCATGTGAGAAACTTGATCAGAAATATCACTCTGTGGGAGATGCACAGAAGCAGGAGTGCTGGGAAGGCTGTGAGGTTATGGGAAGGAGGACAATGCAATCAGTACAGCAGAGTTCTGCTGCAAGCCAGCTCTTCTCCCCACAGACTGCTATACACAAGGGACTAACTCTGCTGAGCACCTCTCACTACTGAAATGCAGATCCTGCAACCCAAGGGCAATGCCAAGGCAGGCTGCATTGTAAAAAAGGAAAGGAGAAAAGTCAGGTAGTGGGAATATTCTGAAAGGGTCCCTTTTTCAGAGTGCAGATGATTGTTTCTGCTACCCAAACATACTTTATAGTTGCCCATATCTTTTCAAAGGCTGTAAAATATCTGTTATTTTACTGGCTGAAATACTGAGACCAGCAGCTCAAGTAGCTTATATAGCATGTGATGCTGCCCTGGCGACAGAGCTCAGCTGTTGTGCCCAAGCCCTTTCCAGAGGGGATAGGGTGAGCCCTGCCGGTCACTGCTGGGCAGGTCTAACTGCTAATTGCTCACGTAAGATCCAAAATAAAAGGGTTGGCATTGAACTTCAGGCAGTAGTTTAGTTTCTGCAATAAAAACACTGCAGTAACAGCTACCATTGCCAAAGCAAAATGATGCTGAGGAATCTGCTTGGTGTCTCCAAGCTCTTCTTGGTGGTTGTTTAAGCAGCAGCAACCCTTCCACAACCTGTTTGGAGAAGCCCATGTCCATGTGTTTTCAAGTCCATCCCAGTGCTCTGGAGAATGCACAGATGTGAAGCTGGATTTAGCACGGGGGTTCAGTTCACTCCTGATAAAGCCAAAGGACAGTGCCTAGAAGTGTGTGCTCCTACAGCATGAGCAGCATTAGACTGGGCTGCCTGGGAGCTTGCTGAGAAGAGGTTCAGGGCAGTAGCTTCTGCAGCCACTGAGGTTATTCTGCTAGTGATTTATTTGCACCCAAATTTGGCTGTTAAACCAGCCTGGCTCTGTGGTTCTCTGCTCAACATCCCTTGTAGAGGTGGAGAAAAAAAGAGGGGGTTGTGGGAAGAAGGAAATACCCTCACAACAAGTGCTACAAGGGGCAAGAAAGAATTTACCCTGGAAAGATTTCTGAGTCAGCAAGCTCAGTCCAGTAATCAGAGAGCGGAAATACAATCAGCTAAACTGCTTCCTTTTCAAGTAGTTGCTTGTTTTGCCACACGGGTGCTCTGAACAAAGTCTCTGCTAAGGCAAACTGCTCTGTGCAGCTGCAATCCGTGTTCATTCACATCCTTAGCAGTAAAGGCACCCTGGAGATGGTTACCACCCTGAGTCACTCTTTTAAAGTGCCCACCAGCTTTGCACATTTCTGAGCTTGGTGGACGAGTAACAGTGTCCTGGGTTCTGCCTGGCCATGGCAGGGGACTCTGTGCAGTCCCTGTGTTCCTGGGAGCAGTTGCAGTGGCTGAGGGAATTATGTGATTCACCAAGAACAGTCCCAACTGAGTTGCTGAATGCTGCAGGCTCTGGCATAACAATAGCACTTACCTCTTCCTTGATGTGTAAACAGCTCCCACCTTTAACATCCTGTTTGTGCCATCCAGGAAATTACTGTTCATCAGGTTTCAGCCCAAGGGTGACACAAGTTAGATGTACCTAGACACCCTGCTTCAGTAAACATCCACGTTGGAAGCCAGACAAAGTCTGAGGCCAGACAAAGCAAGTCTGTGCTTTGTGCAAAAACATGCAAGTCTTAGTTTCTCCATGTTGGCATTTGCATACTTCCTCCTCCACACACTTTCATCATTCAGCAAACTGTAAGATTTGTCTTTCCTCAAATAGCATCTTTTCTTGCTCTAATACCGCTAAAGCCTTATTTCTGCTGCAAGAAATGCTCCAAAGCCTCTGCAGTGTTAAGAACTGGTGCTGTAACATAGCTTAGGGACCTGAGTTTCTGTTGTAATTACATCTTTGTATGAAGTGAAGCTCCTGTGTCTATAATCTTACATCAGCAAAAAGTGCCAGTAAAGTCACTATGATCTGGAATTACAGTTTAAGGCCTTGGATTGGGCTCCACCCCTATCCAAACAGTTCAGCAGTGGTGCTGTCTGCTGTGTGATTAACAGTCACATAAAAGGGTGATGAGAAAGCATGAGAGATTTCTAGATTAGTCAGATGTTAACTGGGAGTGTCAGAATTAAGTCACAATTTACACACACATTTTGCAATTAGTGTTGATGGGAAAGGAAGTGAAAACATAAAGAGCAATTAAATGTGGTTTGTTAGATTCTTTTGTTAAATGTACCCAGATGTTGTAGGGGCTTCAGCTTTTGTGTAGCTGATGTTCAGCATTTAGACTGTGAAAAAACACCCAGGATATAGCAGCAAACTATCTTTCTATCTCTGTATCTTTCCATCTCTGTATTTCCAATGAAAAATGAAGGGATTTATTCATTTCAGGTTACAAAATAACCCTTCCAATTTCAGGGAAAGGCTCTGGAATAATCGCCAAGAAGACTGGTTAACTTCAAGATAGGGCTTGCTAAGTAGAAAACTGAGATTATATTATATGGATAACAAGGAAGTCGCAGTCAGTCAATGCCACACAAAGAGAAAAGTTTTGAGTTACTGAAAAAAACTTTAACCCATAATGGTAGCCTGTTCTCCCACCTGCTGTTCCGGTTTTGTTTTTCTCTGGCAGTTGCTATCAGTAGGTTTGTCGTTTGGTGATGGATCAGCCTCTGCTGAAACTTCTCTGTTGTCTGAAGCAAGTGGGTTCCTTCTTTTAGCCCAGTTGTGACACTGAATGAGAAAAGCCCAAGATCCTGAGTCGGGATGTTAGGGAAGGTGTATTTTTTAGTTCTTGGTTCTGCTGCAGGTTCTGCAGTTAGTTTGTGTTAGAGCTGGTACTAAGATCTGCTGATTATCATCACATTTCTGCCAAGGCTTCTATTTAAAACTCAGGGTAACAGATGGTATACCCAGAAACCTACACAATTACCATGAAAATGAAAGCTAGAACTAAATTTCAGAGGAACCATGTTCCTTTCTGAAGGATGCTGAGTTCTAACTTTGCAGGGCAGCACGAGGTGCTTAGGGTGGAAAAGTTGTCTTGCTACTAATTAGCTTTGCCTGTGTCCAATTTCCTGAAAACAAGGGGAGGAAAGAGAGCTCAAGACTTGCAGTGACAAGCCACCATGTCACAGACAGTTAATCAAGAACCACCCAGATGATTTTCACAAGCCAAAGAAGCAGTCCATCACTCTGACAATCCTGCACATGTGCACCACGGCACGTTAGCGCTCTGGTGCAAAAGACCAAATTCCACAGCACTGGAACAGGCCCCAGGAAAGAACAAGCTATTTGCTTCAAGCCTCTTCTCTCAGCTGGTGATAGATCCACTCTTCCTGCTTGCACCACTGATCAAGGCTGAATAGGGGAAGATAAACTTGGGGAGAAAAAAAAACAGGCAGGCTTTCATCCCTTAAAACACAAAGCCTCAATATTCACAGTAGTATGCGAAATGACACCAAGCAGGGGGAAGAGGGAATAAGAATGGCAGGACAGTCAAGCAAGTGATGCTTTCTGATTTTTGCACCACAAGATGAGGAGGATTCAATGACATTTCTAGTAAGTCGGACCTATTTGGCATTCGTGTACATCAGCCTTTGCAACAGAAGAACAAATATTTCAGAGGTGACACAGGAGTTCATTTACACACACAGGTGCCAAGTAAGCAGCAGTTGAGGCTGGGCTTGCATTAGAACATGAGGAACCCTTTTCCCCACACCTGCAAATGCTCCCCCCATGCCTGGGTAGAGCTGAATACAGCTGCAGAGAGTTACACAAATGAGGAACTGTAGAACCTGGGCTGTTGATCTTTAGTGTTGGCAGATGTTCCCAAAGTAGCCCTGCTTATATGCTCAGAAATAGATTTAAATCCATTTTATTCACATCCACAATTCAAAATTACCCCCACCCCCAAAGAAGAAAATGAAATTGTAGCAGCAGGCTGCAGCTTCTGCTTTCACCTGCTCTCCAGCCTGGCTTTTCACACCCAAATCTGCTGTCAGCACAAGTGTCATGACCTGGATTCAAAGATGCTTTTTAAATCTCTGATTACATGGCCTACTTTCTGGCAATGGAAACGAGGCCAGGTGGATGCTATTTTAAAAGCCTTCTAAAGACCATGGCTAAAATAGCTGACAACATTACTGGAACACTGGGTCTTAAAGGGTTTCACAGGGCGTCTGAGAGAAGTGCTGGCTTTATCTCTGTGTTTTGTATTTCATTTGTTTCATTTCCTAACAGGACTTCAGGAATCATAACAGTGTGGTGCCCCTCCCCTTATCATCCCCAGGCAATTCCTCTCTCGATGTTTGTGTGGAATCTCCAGCCTTTTTAACAGACCAGTCTGTCACTAACACCACACCCTGGCTTTCCTCTATCATCCTACACTGAAGAAGCTACAAGCAATATCCAAGTACCCCTAAAACCACAGCAAACTGAGGAGAGATGCTGAAGGAGAACAATGACAGCAGGACTCTCATGGAACTGTCCCCTGCAGCAGCTACTTTTGAAGCATAAGGTCTCGGTTTGTTTAGTACCAGTACAACTCCTTTCCTTAAATTGTTTCTCAACCCCATTGCTCTCTCCTTCAGAACATATTCCTGTTTCCAAGTGCCTGCCCACACCAGAGCTGAAGCAATAGCTGAATTTTACCTCCTAAATACAAGTAATGCTTCCTATTAAAAGATTTGCTGGACTAGTCCACGAGACTGCCACGGAGCATTTGATCTGCTGCAGAGCTAACTGCCAGCAACCTCTGAAGCTGGTAAAGAAGTAGGTGTAAGGTATCATCCCTCTCTTTATGCAGTTTTAACAAATGTATTTATCAAATCTAGAATTAATAGAAATATTTATGTGCTTTTTAAAAAGGTTTCTGGGGTGGGGGGAAAAAAATCAAGTTTTCCACTACCCAGGTTTATAACTAAGCCCTTGCAGAATCACACCTTTCCTTGATTCTGCAATGAGCCCAGATGACCTTGTGTTCATCCTGGCTGAAATGGATAAAATTAAATGAGATTTAAAGATTTGTGCTTTTATGCTCTAACAGTTTTAGGGGTAGCAGATTGGACTGAGTGTATAATGTGCACTTTCTTTCTGATGATGCATCTTTTAGAAGTGTGGAAAGATAAAGTCTAGCAAATCCAAATCCTACTTATCAATTCAAATTGTATAAGTGGCTTCCTGACCTGAGGGGGAAAAAAGGTGTGGTAGCTAATACCAGAGAAAGACCATTATGGGTATGGTTGCAGGTCACTGATTTTACTATGAAGAGTCTTAGTAAATGTGTCTGAATCCAGTTTTCTTACACCAGTCTGAGCTATGACACAGTATTTATTCTGGGGCCACAAAATGTTAAATTTTTCAGGCTTGGCTTTCCGTGGAGTTTGTGGAGGCTGTTCCCGAGGGAGCTAAAGAAAGTAGCTTACCTCCTTGCCAGCTTCGCTGCATCTGCTGCAGCGCTTCCGTTGACTAGAAGCGACACGTTAGATATCGCACCGGCCAGGAAACAGTCCACGATGCCTTGGTTTCTCCGAGGACAATAGCCAAAGTCATCTCCAGTTACTATTAGCTTCACCTGAAGCATCCTTAGATGTCATCCCTAGCAAAAAAAGTAAAGGAGGTTAAATCGGAACACTCGGCAGTCTGCAGATCACAGGCAAACAGGAAAAGACAAGCTCACCGGGGTCGAACTCGATGGTGACTCAGCCCCTGACTAACTCCTCCTGCTCCACCTCATCCCGCCGCTGGCTCGCAGCGCAGGGGTCGGATCTGCGTGTGGCCGCCTGGCTCACACTAGCCCTGCCCTCGCATGAGGAAGGAAAGCCTTGCCTGCACTTTGTACAGCCGGGGATGGGGAGCGGGCGAGAGGTCAGGGACTCGGTGAATGATTTTATCGACCGAGGGCGCGTCAGGGGTTCAAATTCTGTTCCTCGGGCACACCCCCGCCCGCGGTGCGCAGTGAAATGGCCACGGGTGCGGATCACCTGAGGCC